AAGGTTCTGAGGATCTCCCTTGGTGGGTGGTGGAGGAAGGAGCTGGTGGAGGAGGGTGGAGCTGGAAAACTGTCACCAGTCAGTAAAATAAAGAGAAAACTTCCAAGGTAGAGGTTTTGGCTTTCCAATAGCTAAGTAATTTTAATTTTGGGCCTTTGTGATTTTCACTTGAAGTGGAGAAAACAAATCTTCTTTGGTGTTTGGGAGTAGAGACACACTGGGGAAAAAATTCCCAGCCCTGAAGGTTGTGTGGCACTGGAACAGTTTGTCAGGGAGGTCACTGGGACTCTGTGCTTGGAGCTTTCCCAAACTCAGCTACAGGAAGGCATCACTGCCCTGCTCTGGATTCCTCATGGTGATTTCTCTGCTAAATCTGTTTTTTTTTTCTCCTTCCCCACCCAGGAAGCTGCTCTCCAGCGACCGCAACCCACCCATCGACGATCTAATAAAATCAGGAATATTACCTATTTTAGTGCACTGTCTTGAAAGAGATGACAAGTGAGTATTTCACGTTTTCATGGCTGATGTGTGACTGATTTGAGAGCTCCCATTACAACAATTGTTGTGTTTCTCTTCCCTTGCCAGTCCTTCTTTACAGTTTGAGGCTGCGTGGGCTCTGACAAACATCGCCTCGGGAACCTCGGAGCAGACACAGGCCGTGGTTCAGTCCAGTAAGTCCAGCAGGGTTTGCTCATGGGTGACACTCTGAAGCTGCCACAACAACAACATCATCCAAAACACCCTGTAAAAAACATCCACATCCCCCCTTTCCCCTCAGCAAGTTCACAAATCCACAGGTTGGATTCGGTTGGAATCAGGTTGTTGGTCACTGAAGGACCTGCCCAGGAAGGTTTCTGCCTGATGTTCTGCCTCTGGCAAGTGGTGTCAGGTGAATCACAGGCCTGCTTTTGGTCTTTGTTTTCTCAGGGTTTAAATTCAGTTGGGTTTCCTAATGGTGATTAACATCTTCTGGAAACTCACAGTGTTTTAGCAGAGTTGGTATCTGCTGGTTTCCGGTTTTCAAACTTAAAAGAAAACCCAAACAAACCAAGACCCAACAAAAACCTTGAAACAAACACCAAAAACCCAACCAACCAAAAAAACAACAACAACAAAAAACCCACAGGAAACAACAACAGCAACAAAACAACAAAAAAAACCCAACCAACAAAAAACCCCAAAACAAACAAACAAACAAAAAAGGCAAAAAAAACCCCACCCAAAAAACTCCAGTGGAGGGATCTCCTATCTCACTGCAAAGAGTGTGGGGAGAGCTGTGGGCCAAGTCCAGAGGGTGCCTGACATCAAACTCTTCCAAAATCAAGTTGAAGGAAAAAAACCTGTCCTTCATATTGCATGGAAAGAAATTGCTATTGGATTTGCAATCTGAATTTTGCCAGGCAATGGAAACTTTCTTCTATACCCCAAGCATGTCTTAAGTTGAAGTAGTGCTTCTGTTGATAAAGCAGAACTAAGAAATGTGCAGGATTTTTGAGTGTAGTGAATGAAAAAGAGCTGCTTGAGCCTCCTGGAATAATCAAACATAGTGTGAAACAAGTTTTGCCTAAAATTTAAGCAAAAAAATACACAAAACTTATGTTGGTTGCAAGATCAGTCACCCTTTGCTTTCCCAACCTCAGTGTTAAAAACCTGTTGACTTTGTTTAATTTGGATTTGATCATTTTACTGTGTATCTTAATTCTTTTAACTTCCCTTTTTCCCATCCTCTTCCTTCCCCAGTTGCATCCCGAGTTTTCTTTTGGAAATCTAATTAATAGATAATCTGTCCCACACCTCTGATCTAGAACACTTTGTATTTAAACCTAGTTTATCAACAAATTGAGCACTTCTGTCAGGTGTTCTGTAAGTCTGTGTATGCACTAATTCATTTAATAGCTCTGACACATGAAAATTTGATTTATTTCAATGAAAAAGATGGCCTGTTGTAATCTTTCCAAAAGTACTTAATATGCTTGCTGGGAAGGTTTTTTTTCTCCTTGCATCCAGGCATTATAAAATACCCTTATTTAGTAGGAAATAAGAATCCTGCTGTGGTTTATTTCTCTCTAGTAAAACATGGTTTCCATTGAGAGAGCAACTAAAAATACCAGTTTCTCTTGAAATCTGTGATCTGAAGTAAATGGGTTTTTTTTATAGGCTCAACTATTATGCAAGCAAGCACCTTAGTGTTGGGGGAAAATAAACCAGGATCAATTATCTAAATATGGAGCATGTGGAAGCCTTTCCTGCCCTCTTCCTACATTCCCAGTCCATAATGGAGCTGGGCCCCTACTTACTCTTTGAGTGGGTGGAGTTGGTCTTAGAGTTCCTGCTTTGCAGTTGATTCTGATGCAAAGCTTAGTGACATTTCTTGAATTCAGAAATCCTGTGCTAAATCTGGAGGCCTGACAAGCTCCAGTAAACTTGTGAGACTTGCAAACAAATTCAATTTAATATTCTGAAAGGCAGGCTCTGTAAGAATACACAGCAAAAGGCAGAATTATTGCAGTGTTTTATTGCAGTGTCACCTGGGAAATAAGTGAAATTTTGACCAGTTCTTTACCAGGAGAAAAATTTCTTGTGTACGAGTTCAGGATGTGAATATTTGGTGTTTTGAGAAGCATTTCTTGACCATCCCCTGTGGGGTTTTTTTGTGCCTTTCAGATGCTGTGCCACTTTTCCTGAGGCTGCTGCATTCACCTCATCAAAATGTCTGTGAGCAAGCTGTGTGGGCTTTAGGAAATATCATAGGTTGGTGTTACTCCTGAAAACTTCTAAGGATGTTTTAGTGTTGTTTATAAAGTTTTTGATGGAATCTCCAGGAATGTGTTGGGCTGTCCACTCTTCTTGGTGGTTTGGTGTTTTCTGCCACCCCTTCCCTCGCCCACACATCCCTAAATCCACGAATTGTGAAACTTTGCTGTTGAAATAACAGGAATTCTGTGCTGTCTCTTCCAGGTGATGGACCCCAGTGTAGAGATTATGTTATTAGCCTTGGAGTAGTGAAGCCTCTGCTGTCCTTCATCAGCCCCTCCATCCCCATCACCTTCCTAAGGAACGTCACCTGGGTCATGGTCAACTTGTGCCGCCACAAAGACCCCCCTCCACCCATGGAGACCATTCAGGAGGTGATGGAATTGGGACCCAACCCCAGCTGGGGGGTTTGTCTGCCTCAAAAATGGCTTTTAAAGTATAAAAATAACTGTTCCTTTCCCTCCTCAGATCCTTCCAGCGCTCTGTGTTTTAATTCACCACACGGATGTAAATGTAAGTCACCAAAATAAGACTCACTTTTATGCTCTGATGTAGTTTTGTAGCTGAAATACAAAGATTAGTCATAATTAACTCTTTTTCTTTATAAAAAAACCGTGATGTTCCCTTTCATTAGTGCAAACTTATTTTGGTATCTTTTAACTGATTATTTTGAAGTATCAATTCGGTTTTTTCCCTGGTATTTCTGTATCTTTGCAAGTGTTTATTTGCATGTGCTTTCCCTGCACTTAAAATAAAATGCAGTTTCAATTGTATTTCTGTGAGCATTCATTTACAGATAAATACAGGAATTTTTGTGCCTAGCACTTGAATCTGTAATGAAAATCAGTGTAAATGAAATTAAAAACAGTGTCTGCTACACATGTCAAATATCAGGTTTAGATGCAACTTCTGAGGTGTCAAATATGAACATTGTTATTTAATAGTGAAGTAAATGAGCAAGACTTTACTGAAATTATAAAATAGCTCATTTTTTTGCCTAAACATAAATGAGAATTTAAGATTCTTTGCTTCCTAGTGAAGTTGTAGCTCAGTTGTCTGAGTTGATGGCAACAGTGCTTTGCCAAAATATGTCTAAATATATTAACTAATGTTCATACAGTAATTATGCTATTTAATTTCTTGGCTGTAAGTAGGTGAAATGAAGCTTATTTGAATGTTGGAAGTGGCTGTATTTCAATCAGTCAGGAGTTGTCAGCTGCAACAACACTCCATTTTTATGAGCTGTCAGTCGAAATGTTCCGATTTACAGCTGTTTAAATTAGATTTTCTGCGTGTGAATGCACAGCACTAATGGAAATTAATCTTGCATTTATTTTTAACTGTACTTTTAATTATTTTGGTGACACTGGTGCTATTTCTGTCCTGTTTCCTGTCAGATATTGGTAGATACAGTCTGGGCACTCTCATATCTAACGGATGCTGGCAATGAGCAGATCCAGATGGTCATAGACTCCGGAATAGTCCCTCATTTGGTTCCTCTTCTCAGCCATCAAGAAGTTAAAGTGCAAGTAAGTTTGGATCCCTTGAAGGAAGTGCTGCTCTAAATGTGCTACTAGAGAAAGTAGCTGGTTTCTTTTTAGAGTTGGAGTTTAAAGAGCTTTTTTTTATTTTTTTTTATTTTATTTTTTTTATTTTTTTTCCTGTGCGATGCAGCATTTGCATAAAAAAGCTTTTGCTTTCTGAGCTGTTTGTGCTCGGCCAGGAAAAAAAAAATATTTGGTGAAAAGAGCTGGGTTTAAAAGGAAGTGTTTTTGTTTGTGGTTTGTCTCCAGACGGCTGCTCTGAGAGCTGTGGGAAACATCGTCACCGGCACCGACGAGCAGACACAGGTAGTTCTCAACTGTGAAGCTCTCTCGCATTTTCCAGCCCTTCTGACGCATCCCAAAGAAAAAATTAATAAGGCAAGTGATTGTACCTGATTGAGAACTCTTATATTTGGCTTAGCTTGGATCCCACACGATGTAATGTCACAGAGATTTGAGTAATTGGCTCCTCACGCCAGTTTGTGGCAGTTTGCAGCAATGCTGAGGTTTTTCTGGAGATTTAACATCCACAGGAAAATCTCTAAGGAGCTGCAGGCTTGTACTTGACAAGGATGTTGTTTCCTGATTTTCTTCTAATTGAATTTTTATGAAATCAAAGCTTTATCTTCTAAATCTGGCTGTTGACTGAAAAGTTGGGAGTTCTCGATACGTGAAATGTCACTTTAATTAAACTGACTCTCTTGGAAGTGATGAAATAGAGATAATTGGATGTCTTTGAATGGAGTGTGTGTGTGAGAAATGGAATTTAATCCAAATCAGCTGGGGGTGGGGTGGGGGATGTGTGTGTGTGGATGGATGGAAAAGGCTTTAAATGGGGGCACTGAGTTCCGTGCTGACTCCGGAGTGCATCTGAGGCGTGTTGGGCACTTCTGGGGCCACTCTGCAACACTGCCAATGATTAAAGCCCAAACCAAGCCCACCAGGAGAAGCCCAGGCATCCTAAAATCTCTACCAGGGTCACTGATGAAAGTGGTCCTGGGATCTGATCTCAGAGACTCAGTTGAATGAAATGGGAAAATTCCAGATTCTCTCACGTGGAGAGAAACATTCAGCTAAAAAGTTGTTGTTCCAGAGAGGTTGAGAAGGGAATTGTGGAGTGATGGAAGGTTTCTAGGAAGGCAGAAATCTTTCAGCTGTAAGATTAGAAGCTGATACTCTGAATATACTGAAAATTTAATGTGAAACTGTTACTTCTTGACTAAAGGATCCATTCCCACTTAAAAAGGTGTGTGGGGACTTTTTATTCTGACTTAACATAAGAATCCAGACACAGTCTTTGGCTTGGTTCAAAATTTAATTTTAAATTTAATTTAATTTTTAATTTAATTCAGGACTGGGAGGGGCTGCTGGGGAAAAGATCTGTTCTTGCACACTGTGCCAGGCACCTGCTTTTGGATGTTGCTGGAAGGAGAGTCCTGGACAGAATGAGCATCAAGGGTCCAATAACTGTTGAAAATGAAGCATTTAAAGTAATAGGTGTTGTGTTTTCTTGATGATTGAAGCCAAGGAGAGAGACATTATGAAGGAGGGAAAGAACATCTCCTGCCACTCTCATGTGTGGAAAACATGATGCTGTCCTGCATTTTGGAGCTCTTCTGGCCATCAGCTGAAACCTGCTCCAGCATCCATTGTCAGAGGTGGAAGCAATTACTGAGTGCCCATTTGTGACCTTTTTTTTTTTTGTCTCCAAATAATTTTTCCTTTTAATCTGAAGTGTTTGGTTGTAAACTGGTAACAGTGAAAGATTGGAGTTGGAAAAATGTGCATGTTATAGGATCTTGCTGGAGGGGGAATAAATGCTCTGGAAGGCTGTGTGAATTAATTCCTGCCATCCTTTTGTTTTGCAGGAAGCCGTGTGGTTCCTATCTAACATCACTGCAGGAAACCAGCAGCAAGTTCAGGCAGTAATAGATGCAAACCTCGTTCCAATGATAATTCATCTTCTAGATAAGGTTAGACCACAAGGATTGCTGTTGAATGCTCGTGTGGCACTTCAAATACCTGTGTTTGTTTTCAGGTTTTGGGTTCTTTGTGTCTTGAAACGTGAGTTTGCAAAGCACCTTGTGCTCCTTGTGCCTTGTCAGAAACAAGGAGGTGGCTAAAAGAATGTAAGAAGTATTTAGGGGAAAAGAGCATTCATAAATAGTTCTGTTAACTGCCAATTTATTGATCCCTGAGAAAAGAATTGGAGACCTTTCAAACTGAATAAACAGCCCTGAGCTGAGGAACTTCAGCCACAGTTGCAGTGTGTGCAGGGCTTTATCAAAGCTGACACTTAGTGCTTATCTCTGCCTGTAGGACATGACAGCTGTTGATAAGGAGTGGGAGAGAGTGGAGTGAGTGCTGCAGTTTTATGTGCTTTGATGTAAACAAATTTCCCTTCCCCTGGAAGATGGATTGGAAAACGTGGTTGCAGGGAAGGGAGGAACAGAGCAGGATTTAGGAGTCGCTTTCCCTGCTTACACACAACTGATACAGTGATACTGTGCAGGGTGGATTGTAACAAGTACAAGCTTTTATGGGAATACTGTGTTCCAGAAAGCCTGGAGTGACTGTTTGTGTCTGTGGTTGTGTTTTCAGGGTGACTTTGGTACTCAGAAAGAAGCTGCTTGGGCAATAAGCAACTTAACGATCAGCGGAAGAAAAGACCAAGTGAGTCAAACTTTGAGGTGCATTCCCTGTCTTGGGTGCATTGGAGGGAGTGCCAGGATTAGGGATGTCTTTGTTCCTCCACTGCTCAGTAACTCTTCCCTATTCCACAAGGGATTTGAGCTTCAGTTGGAAGCTCATTCATTTCTGGAATGACGTGACATCTTAGGATGGCCTGGGAGCTGTGAGTGGCTTCATTCAGGCCCTGATGGGATTCCTGGGCATTCCACATCTCCTTTTACCTTTTTTCCCCAACCATCAGAATGTGATAATTACAAGGGGAGTATCCCATGAGTAGAATTACAGTAGTTCATTGTAAGCCCAGATTAGGGGCAGGGTTGGGGTGGTGCTGCTGATTTTCAAAGATGAGGTTGAAGCTCCTTATCCGATACTGAAAAATTCACAGTGTCTGCTACTTGTGTGTTGTAGCCCTTAAATATATATATAACTTGATCCCTAAATGTCACCTTTTAATAATAATAATAATTACATAATAATAATTAACATAAATGCTACCTTTTGATGCTCTAAAAGGGGATTTTTGAAAGTGGCCACTGCAGAATACCTGGTTGGGTAACTTTGAGTACTTGGCCTTCATGGAGCTTGTTTGCATTTGTGTTTGTGCTGCACTGTTTTTCTGCCACATTCCTGGTGTAACTCCTGCCTTTCCCCCCTCAGGTGGCTTACTTAATCCAACAAAATGTAATCCCTCCCTTTTGCAATTTGCTGACAGTAAAAGATGCACAAGTTGTGCAAGTGGTTCTGGATGGACTAAGTAATATATTAAAAATGGCTGAAGATGAAGCAGAAACCATAGCCAACCTTATAGAAGAGTGTGGAGGTAGGAGGATCAATATTTCCAGAGGTTTTTTGCAGAAATTGATGTTTTGGCTTCCTACTGTGTGTTGGTTAAAACCTTTTTTAAAGTGACCTTTTCATGCCCATCAGGTGAATATACCCAGCTTTTCCCACCTAAGTTAAAATGTGGAGGAGCTGGATAATGGCAATAAAACTTATTAGATGCTGATTTTGTAACAGTCATTTACTAGACAAATTATTCTCATTGACAGATTAGTTTCTGTTAATGTAGGGATGATGTGCTTACCTTAGTCATGCACAAGTCATGTCCAGGTGGACTTGAAAAAAAGAATTCCAGATACGGTGGTTTTAAAAATATGATAACTTTAGTTTCCTAATGGCTCTGAGACTTCCTCTGTGTTGGTTGTTATTTAAGTTGACTGAAACTTTTCATGGATGAACAGTGATATTAAATTTGGACACAGGTAAAAAACTGGGTGGGATTTGTTAACATGGAGTAGAACAGTCTTTAAAATATCAAATCTTGAGGGAGGGCAGAAAAATCACGTGATTGGTGATGGCTGGGAGGAGAAAAGAGGTGTTTGAGCCTCAACTCTGCTTGTCAGAGCTCCAAAATTACTTACATGTGTATGTACTGTACACTTATTTATCTGTATATAAATGTGTATAAAAATATATATAAATATGTCAAATATGAGTTTACAGCACCTTAATCATAGTCACTCTGTTCCCAGATTTGTTTTTAATTTCATTCTTGGAAAATTGTTTTGCCTGAACTTGGTGTTCTGATATTTCCCTCGTGCGTTTGTCACAGGGCTGGAGAAAATTGAACAGCTACAAAACCATGAAAATGAAGACATCTACAAACTGGCTTATGAGATCATTGATCAGTTCTTCTCTTCAGATGATGTGAGTGTGTCATTCTCTGCAGTCTGCCCCTCGTGGTGGTTTATATTTATAAATATGGTTCGGGGTAAAGCTGCTCTGGGGGACTCGTTCGGTTCGGTGCAGAACGAGCCCTTGTTTGAACCGACTGCCTCTCTCACCATTCCTCACAGTGAAGCATCTAAAGAAGATCTGAGGCCTAATTTAAGCCTCATCTCTAGGGATTAAAATCCCAGGCTTTGAATAGTTCCCTTAACTCTGAGCCCCTGCCTGAGCCTGACATTTCCCCTTTGATAAGCTCCCTGCTGCCTCGAGGGCCGAGTCGGAGCTTCTGCTGCTCCAAGTTGGAACATTGGAATAATTTCAGGGGTGTGGGATGTGCTGATCAGGAATGTCGTTTTCATTTCAAACATGTGACACAAATCAAAGGGAGGTTTGATTTGTGTGCACTTGAAATCCTAATTGCAGAGAAAGGAAATGCAATCACGGCAGTCTGTGCTGTGAAGGGAGAGAGGGGGTTTCTGCTTGGTTGGAGAACTGCAGAAATGGTAGAGCTCAGCTGCATTCATGCCCTGTTTTCACTTGGAAGATCATTTTGTGCTAGACTTTCACTTTTATGTGAGCAATAACATCCAAGGCTTGTTTAGCAACTTAAATTTTGCATAAAGAGCAGGACTTGGAATTTAATCCAGTGTCAGTGTGGAAACCTGTGTTACCAAATATGTGTTACCCAGTTTAAATAGAAACTGCAGTCTGGGTTTAATCCTTGCTCGACTTAATGGTATTGGTCATCTCTTAAGAACTGTGGCTGTTTAGAAGACCGACAGAATACTTTTTCAGCAGTGAAAATTCCATAAACACGATATTATTGGGTGCCGTGTAGACTTTCCTGCTAAATAAAAGCTAAAACATTTCAGCTTAAATGACTTCATTTTAGTGCTCTACTAAACTGTGGGGAAGAATGGCAAGACTCAGTGCAGGGAAGTTCCTTAGGTAGAAAGGGAGATGATTTTTGGAGTGTGCAGCTCCTGTTTAGTGAGGTTTTGTGTCCCTGTCCCCACTCACAGTGTTCCCATTCCGTTCCAGATTGATGAAGATCCAAGCCTTGTTCCAGAAGCAATACAAGGCGGAACATTTGGTTTCAATTCATCTGCCAATGTACCAGCAGAAGGGTTCCAGTTTTAGAGTGGTATTTTGGAAGTTAGGTACAATGCAGCACTGAATAAAACAAAAAAAAAAAGGTTTGATCCATCAATCTTGGCTCATGGGATCCGCTGCTGCATTAAATCGGGAAAGCAAATGTGAAGATTTCATTTGGAATCACAGAAAAGCCCAAATGAAGTCAAGATGGCGAGTGGGTGCGAGTGAGAATGAGTGGCAAAATGTAATGAAAAACTTCACACTGAATGCTTATTTAGATTGTTCAAAGAAAAAAAGGGCTACAGGTCACAGATCTTCAGTGCCTGAGACGGAACACCGACTTCCTAGAGCAATTGGGGGAAATGCAGTAATATCATCATCAAGCCTCGTAAGCATAAGAGAATAGGATGCCCACATAAGTCCAAGAGAATGAGCCCAGGCCTTGCTATGAAGCACCGTGTGAATGGACACCGTTGAGTGAATGTCTGGACTCGCTGCCAGGCTGGATCCCAGCGGGGGCTCCGGGCTGGATCCCAGCGGGGGCTCCGGGC